TCATGTTTTGATTCAAGAATCACTACCTTAGACCCAGATCTCATTTTGCAATTGAAAGGCCTTAGGACATTAAATTTGAGTGGTAACATTTTCAGTGAACTTCCAAAGGAGATTGGCAAATTGATACATTTGAGGTACATTGATTTGTCTGGTAATCATCGTATGAATGAACTACCAAACACTGTGTGTAATTTATACAATCTACAAACCTTGCGCCTCACTGGGTGCAGGCACCTTGCAAAACTACCTAAGGCCATAGGGAAGGTGATTAACTTAAAGCATCTTCATATTAAGTGCTGTAATGCGTTGAAGTACTTGCCAAAAGGGATTGGGAGATTAAGAAGTCTGCAGGTATTAGATGGGTTTAGTGTATGTGCTGCTGACAACAGTGAAACACTCCAGTTAGGTGATCTGGGAATCTTGGACAAGCTTCAGGGTAGCCTTTTTATCAAAGGGCTGGGGAATGTGAGAGACGCTAGTGAGGCTGAGAAAGCTCAATTAGCGAATAAAAGACACATCCTTCATTTGGAACTAGATTTTTCGAATGGAGATAAGCGACGACAAGGAGAAAGAGATGGAGAAATGCTGAGTTTCTTAGAACCACCTCAAAGTTTGGAATTTTTAAGCATTAGTTGTTACTGTGGCGGCTCCTTCAGCTCTCCCAACTGGATGATTTCTCTACCTAATTTGAGAACCCTTGTTCTTCGTTCTTGGAAAAATTGTGATTTTTTGCCTCCTCTTGGGAAATTGCCGTCCCTTCAAACACTGAGCATAGATGATATGCCTAGTGTGAGAAAGGTTGGAGTTGAATTTTTGGGAATAGAAGAAACTTCAGCATTGTTAAAATCATCCTCACCAACTGTTTCATTCCCAAAATTGAAAAAGCTCAGCTTCTCTGGAATGTGTAGTTGGGAAGAATGGGGAGGAGTGGGAGGGTTGGCGGAAGAGGATTCTGAAGTTAGAATAATGCCATGCCTTTCTTCATTGGATATTCTTAAGGCAGACAGCCTACGAACACTGCCCGACTTCCTGCGAAAGACGCCACTGCGCGATTTGACTATCTATAAATGCTCTATATTTCTTGAACGCGGTTGCCAAGAAAGCAGAGGAGAGGAGCGTCTCAAGATTTGTCACATCCCAAACATCGAAATTAATTATAAGAGTGTTCGAGAAGACGGAGTTTGGATCCAGCAAGAGGATGAAACAGAGGAAACTGATAGTTCTGAATCTGATGAGGATGATGATGGGATTGCACAAGAATAGGATGTCGTGTATTACAAGTCATCTTAGCTGCATTTCCATAGGTGCTCTGCCAATCCCCTTTCACTCCTTCTGGTAAAAAACTAAGCTCTTATTTGTGTATTGATATACTTGATTACCATATTTAATCATTTTCAGTAGTCTGTTGGTTACTAGTTTGCTGAACTGTCATATTATGATTGAACCAAGCAGGAAAAACCAATTATTTGCATTTTGATTAACAGATCCTAAGTAAGATTTTCAAGTGGTGCAACATCATCAAGGAAGCTGGTCCAGCATTCTGGCAAACATTTGACTGATTGATGAGGCACTTACCTAAGCCAGGTAACTGATTTTCAGTATCCTCTGGAATCTTATTCCTATGATGCAGTTTAAAGGCTCAAATTTAAAGTTGCTGGTTATGAAATTCAAATGTTACTAGGTTGTGATATCGAATGTCCATGTCATAGGCATGGGATTTTGTTATTTCAGCGGCTGAAGCTTTTCATGGCATGGAAGCTGATTTGGATGCTCTACCCGGAAACAGAATAGGACTGGAAGTTCATGCCATCTTCTCCTAAGCCCCTTCTGTTGGCTCATTTGTTTTGGCCTGCTCCCGGACCAATGAGCTGTGATTGGACTAGCTTTCAACACGAAGAAAAAATGAAACGAAACGAACAAGACTCATTAACACAAGTTGGATACCTTGTCCCCCCCTTTTCCCCCTCCTAATGTGAAGGAAGGCAGCGCCGATGCCCCAGAATTTCTCACTTTTCTGATGAGTTGATGCACATAAAAGGTCTTGATCAAGGAATTGGCCGGGCCAAAAATTTTATATTACAATATCATACAATTACTTTTTTGGAGTGACAATGTCAATATACAATTACTACATGTATGGCTATGACTAGAATTTAAAAAGAAAAATGCACATCTGAGCAGATATTTGGCTTTTATGTATTGGAGCAGGTGTCTTTATGAAATTAAAAAATGTGAAGAAGTCTTTGACCTATGGCGTGTCATGCATCATCTCTATGTTTTGGTAGCCTATAGATATGTAAGGTCTAGAGGGACAAGTTGGTTGCCTGTACCTAAAAAAAGGGGTAAACAAAGTTTTCCTATGTATCCTTCTCATAGAATTCATAACCAAAACCCAAAAAAAAAAAAAAAAAAAAAAAAAAAAAACAGAAAAAACTTTCTCACAGAAGTTAACCATGTCGTATGCATATCCGAACGAAGGCAGATCACAAGAAATGAAGCTGCTACAAGGCCGGGGTGGGGGCTTGGCTCCCTAACTTTTCTCATTGTCGTATTGACTTGGCTTGAACCACATAGAAAGGTTATACAAGGAATCTTGCCCCTCCTAAAATTTTCGAAGAGGTTCCTTTTTAATTGATTGATGGGTACATTGGAAGAATTTAAAAAGCAGGTAGCTCTACGAATTAAACAAAAATGGGAAAAAAAAAGTCTATGATTAGCACTCCCTACCACTGAGCTGTGAGAGGACTAGTTTTCAACAAGAATAAAAAATACACGGCACGACACGACATGAACACAACTCATGGACACAAGTTGGACCTTATCTGAAGGCAGGCAGGACAAGCTTAATTAGAAAATGAAGGATGCTAACAAAAGAATTGATTGAGTTGTGGATGTCACAAGATTATCTTAATTTGGAAGAAGACAAAAACAAAGAAATTGTTGGTCAAAATTATTTCAATAACTTGGTAATGCGGTCTTTTTTTCAAGATTTTGCAGAAGATGATTTCGGGAATGTTAGATTCAAAATGCATGATATCGTGCATGACTTTGTGCAGTTTCTTACCAAGAAAGTAGCTTTTGTTATAGAAGTTAAGGATGCTAACAAAAGAATTGAGCTACCAGGTTATAAAGTCCGCCATTTGACATTAATTGCACTCGAGGATCCATATGGATCTCACACTTCATTATTAGCTCCAGTTTCATCTGAAATTTGCAAAAGCATGCGTACCCTCACAACTTTTGGTTCAAGAATCAGTACTTTAGACCCAGATTTTATTTTGCAATTGAAAGCCCTTAGGACATTAAATTTGAGTTATAACAGAATTGCGGAACTTCCAAAGGAGATTGGTGAATTGATACACTTGAGGTATGTTGATTTGTCTCGTAATTATCCTTCAGTGGAATTACCGAACACTGTGCAATTTATACAATCTGCAAACCTTGTGCCTGGATTTTTGCCGGCAACTTGCAACACTGCCCTAGCCCATGGAGAAACTGATTAAACTAAAGCATCTCCATGTTATGTGCTGTGATGAGCTAAAGTACTTGCCAAAAGGGATTGGGAGATTAACAAGTCTACGAGCATTAGACGGGTTTCATTTATGTGGTGGTGATGACAAGAATGACACGTTCAAGTTAGGTGATCTAAGACTGCTGGACAAGCTCGAGGGCAGCCTTTTTATAAGCGAGCTTGGGAACCTGACAGATGCAAGTGAGGTTAAGAAAGCACAACTGTGGAATAAAAAACACATCCTTCATTTGAGACTGGATTTTTGGAATGGAGATGATGCGGAGGGGGATAGGAAAAGTGATGTTGAAATTCTGAATGTCTTAGAAGGACCTCAGAAATTGAAAAGTTTAGACATTTGTAATTACTCTAGCACCTTGTCTCCCAAGTCGATGTCTTTACACAGTTTCAGAAGCCTTACTCTTCGTGGATGGAGATATTGTGAAGTTTTGCCTCCTCTTGGGAAATTGCCGTCCCTTGAAAATTTGAGAATAAATGATAGGACTATTCTGAAAAAGGTTGGAGTTGAATTTTTGGGAATAGAAGAAACTCAAACACCATCACACTCACCTACTATTTTATTCCCAAAATTGAAACAACTCAGCTTCGACAGAGTTCGGGATTGGGAAGAGTGGGAAGGAAAAAAAATACACAAGGAAACTGTAATGCATACATCAAGATTAAGATTGATTCGCAATATTTTCTCAAGGAGTAAACTGTAATGGTCGAAGCCTCGTCGCAGTAGTTACTTGTGCTAACATGTTACACTTTGGCCATTGTTGGACAGCTAAGACCATGACAGTCTGAGATGTGGTGATTGCCTTGCACCATGCCAAGAAGGATGCAAGACAAGGCCGCGTTGGCGCTGCACACAAGTTTGACAAGGCATGGCCCGGCATGCGCAGCAAGCTCGGTGGAGTCAGGCTTGGGCGGATGTCATCCGTGGGCAGTTTATCGGCAGTTACTAACTAGCAATTTCAGCACCAACTCATGTAATCCTTTGCTAGGTTTATTTTCTATCTGCCTCTTATGTAATCCTTTGCTTTGTATACGTGTCATAGTGGTGGTGTTATTCAGCGTATGAGTGCTGAAGTGTTTGAAAAGGGTGCAACCTTTATTTTTATTTTGGGGTGAGGTGTGGTTATTGGAACCCAAAATATCAAAGGTCAAAGAAAATATCAATTTATTAAACTTTCAAGAGAGAGGATGAAAATTATGCGAAAATTTAGAAAATAAGTTTTTTTTATCTTGGAGACGGGCGACTCAAACATGGAAGCTCTTCAGAATGAGTCAGATCAGAGATCAACTTTTTCGATGATATCGATACAATATCAATACAAAGAAGATTTCTCAGTTATATATGAATGAGAAGTATTTAAGAGACAAGGTTCTGACTGATAACATGAACTGGAATATATGTCTTGTTGCCAAGGCGGCATTTATGAGCATGGTTATGAAGGCTAGAACAACCCACCAAATCAATGTTGGTCAATGAAGAGGAAAAAAATCAAATATTTGATTGATTCTCATGACTCGTTCACTATAACCGAAGACACCACATGTACATCATAACGTTAAAACATCCCTCGTTCAAATTTTAATAGAAAAAATAGGGGTTGGGGGGTTGGACAAATAGAAGTATGAGAATTGTAAGTAATCATAGTAAACAGCCTTTAAAACCCTTTTCTAACTCTTGTGCATCCAAGTTCTTCCCTATGAAAACAATCTTGTTTGTTCTTGGCTCGTTGGGGCCCCACAGCCGATCAGGTGAGCCTTGGAATATATCATGAACTCCCTGTTACACAACAAAAAGATGATCACTAAATATACAGTACCAACACAAAAATCATTGACTAAAATTGCTTGGAACTATATTTCTAACTCCTTTATCAGCAACATCACCAACCCATAACTTGACATGCAAGAAGAATATCAAATGACTAGAGATTAACAAAATCCAGTACATAAAAAAAATGTCAATGTACATTAGTAGCAAGTTTCTCTCCCCTCACTTAAATTGAACCGTTCCACGATAAAATCCCATTCTACTTGGTTATTCCTTTGCATTGACCACTAATAAGGCATTGAAGATCATATAAGACTCTTAAGACAAATACAAGGATCACCCATTGCTTTGAAAAAACAGAGAAGAAAACAAGCAAGATATAGCTTCAAAATTGACAGGAAACATGACCCTAGATCGAGCAAGAAGATAAATAATTTATGTAGCCAACAAAAACAGCAATGCTCAGAAATTCCAACTTCAATATCCTCACAGCCAAATTTCAAATAGAGAAACGGACATTCTTATACAAGAAGGAGATCTCATACCCATTATCTCAAATATCCAAGTCTTAAGTAAAATAATTTGGTTCATTATAATTAACACTTTCAGGATTTAACTCACCTGGAAGACAAATCTCTCATTCATTCCCTGAACAGATAGGAGACCTTTCATACGATATATGTCCTCGCTCCGTTCCAACAACAGTGTACCGAGCCATATGTTAGCCTGAAAGAAATTATGACAACATCAGTACAATCTTTGTCAGGTTTTCTTGTATATATTTCATATTGAGACAACATCATTACAATCTTTGTTAGGTTTTCTTTTATACATTCCAGACAAAGAATCTAAATTATAAAATTCCTGTAACTGGCCATAAAATGTGTACTTGTGTCATTCACAGCAACAGGTCAATAAAAAAGTCCACAGGTACTACAAAAATCATAAGGCCAAATATCATATATGACGGCAAATAAACTACAACAAAGTAGAGATCCAACCTTTTCAAGATCTAAGTTCCCTTCACAAACTATGCTGACAGAAGAAACGCCAGGATCATGAACATGGTCATGGGTGTGGTGATCATCATGATGTTCTGCATATCAGTGCCAAATGTAAGGATATCAGTTCATAATTCTATATAAAAAAATAGTAGCAATGTCAAGTGGTTAAGGCAGTCCAGTAAAAGCTATTGGCCGACCTGGCCACGACTTTTCTTACACACAACACAAGGCCATAAACAAACAGTAAAAAAATGACAGGGAGCTATCCCTGCCACCTTTCTTAGTGCCACTTTCAGAAGGACTGAAACCACAGCACCCACAGATCCAGGGATGGCAATGGAAATTTTTTAACAAGAGCTACAACATCGCAATTTGGAGGACACTTTTGTCCACCATGCTGCTTGCAGTTAAAGTTTCAATCTTTTCCACCCATTGCAGCAAAACTGAATACAAAGAAGAACATTTAATAATCACTTCTCCAGAACTCGAACCTACTCACGCTTCTTGCTTTACTTCTTGCCCCCGAGAAGTACACTGCAATACTTTTTCCCTCACATGAACCATTTGCCTCCAAGTTGCAAGTAGGACTTATATTACACACTGAAAACCTCATATGAAATTAAATGCATATGAATAATGGAAACGAAAGGGCAAGGGAAGCATACAAGCTTTTACACATTCCCTTTGTCCACACCACAGAAAATGGTAGCAATGATTTTCTAAACCATGGGAATACTGAAGCCTCAAAGACTAGATTAAACTAAACCCAGAGTAAATGAAAATGAGAAGAAAACTATGTTTTGGCAGAGCAGATATCTTATTTTGTTCTTACGATATCATATATCTATGGGGTATATAACTGGACCCACTGTATGCCCTCCCTTTTAGATCCATATGTTCTGAAGATTAGTTGTTATTTTGCAAGATCTATATGCCTGTAGTAAGCTTACATATGATCATTCAATAACTTAATAGCTAAAAAGTTAAATCCGCCACACCTGCAATAATTCTCACCCATACGTAACAATGGTTTGTTTTCAAACGCCAAGCACACCACCCTCTGGGACCCAAGATTCCACAAATGCATTTGTTTGTGAGCAACAAACAGATTTTGTAGACTATTCAGTTTTAATTTGACAACAGATAAACAATAGTACCCACAAAGCCATCATCAACATATTCAATGTGTAGGAAGAAGAACAGCAGATCTTTCACAGAGAAGCAACATGTCATGATGAGTATGTGTTTCAATGATCAGAAGGATTTACCGTGCTTGTGGTCATGTTTCTCATCATGATGGTGATCATGATCATGATGGTGATCATGGTGATGATCATGATCTTCCTTTTCACCTTCAGCGTTAATAGCACTCTCTATCCTGGCAAGATTACAGCCAAGATTAGGAAATGATATCAAGATTCCAAAACACAAGGTGTGAAATTATGAAGCATGGAAGCATGTTCTGCACATTATAGATCAATTTAATAACAGAGGAATATCACAGAAGAACAAAGAAAATTAACACACTGAGGGAGCATGGGCTCCCAAAATAATTCTCATTTATAAGTGTATCATTTATTAATCAGCACCAATGGTAAACAACACGTGTTTGAAGCAGTATACAAAAGGAGATTAGAACAAAGCATACACACAAAAAATCTAAAGAAAAGGAAATAAATATTTCATATATAACTCCAATGGGCTCACGAATCTGTTTGTAAACTAATTTTTACAAACGGATTCACAAGTCCCCCTCAATGTTCCTCTATTTAGACAAACACAAGGGCACAAATAATTCAATGATCTTGTTAGAAATAGTTAAATGATTCAAAACTTATACTATGATACTATCCACCTTTCTTTTCACATGCAAATTGTGCACAACATTTAAAGCCATTAATCATCATTAAGAACCTAATTTTAAATAAATGGGAGTAATGTCCAATAAGCAGCAACAAGAAATCAACAACCATCAGCAAGGTCAGAATTGTCTAAACCCAACAACAATGAAATGGGTGTAAAAAATTACCTCTCCAAATCAAATCCTCCAATACCAAGAACATAATCCAGGTTAACTTTTCCAAACTCTGTCCGCTTCAGTTGAGCCATACCATTGATGTTCTATTTTCAAGATAACACATTCCGTTTAATACAATAATCATTAACAAGAATGACGAAAACAAAAAAGCAGCAAGGTACAAACCCTTATTCGTTGCACCAAAGAAGCAATTTCTGGCTCGCCAACAAGATCGGTCTAGGAAAAAAAAGGACAAGTACACTAGTCAGCCATTACAGCAAAAACTGTAACCATTTTGAATATATTCTTCATCCAATATTCTATAATAATTTTCAAGTTAACTGTTTTTTTATCAATTAATGATGCCTTAAAAAAGGAAAGAACAAAAAGTAAGAAAAAATAGTAACCACACCATCACAAACACATAGAAAGCGTTCATGTTGAAATATTAGGGCCACACTATTTACAGTTTTCAAGAATCATAACTATTCAATTTGAGTGCAGTGCAGAGTAAACCTGATACACAAATGGATCATAGTAATCATGTGTACCTTATTCACGATGATACGGTCAGCATAAGCAATCTGCTCTATAGCCTCATTGACAACTCCTTTTGGCTTAACTTCATCCAGATGAAAAACAGCATGTTTAGCATCAACTAACGTGACAACACCATCCAACTTGACATCATTAAAAACCTGATCCTCAGCATAAAATGTTTGAATGATCGGTGCTGGATTTGCCAATCCTACAAATAAATAAGAAGAAAAAAAATTCACATGAAGTTCAGTAGCTGCAAGAAAGGCCAAGCAAATTCAATGAATTAACGATTTCATACACCCTACGAAACAAGTTGCAAACAAACAACCACGAACCAAAACTTGGTGCAGTAAAACAAAACAAACTTCATACCTGTAGTCTCTATTACAATATGATCGAACCTCCCTTTCTTCTTATGAACCAAGTCCGAAATCATACGAACAAGGTCACCCCTCACAGTGCAGCAAAGACACCCATTATTCAACATAACAATATCTTCTGCCCCAGTGGTTTTTGCAGCAACCAAAGAACCATCAATGTCTATTTCACCATACTGCAAAATCCACAAAAAAACTCAAAACCTTCACATACATAACATAAATTAAGAAACGACAAGAAGTAAGTGCAAAATTCAGCCTCATACCTCGTTCTCAATCACCGCAATTCGCTTCCCATGCTCCGCAGTTAGTATATGGTTAAGCAATGTCGTCTGCCAGTTTCATTTCAAAAGTGCATTTCAGTAAATAATGAAGATTATAGTGGCATTCAAACAATGAAACTTTTGGATAAAAAGGGCCATAAATTTAGCGACTTAAATCACAAAAGAGAGTATGAGTAGAAAATATCGAACCTTTCCGGAGCCCAAGAAGCCGGTGATTATCGTGGCGGGGATGCGATTATCGGGGACAATCTGGGTCAAAACGTCGGAGCTTTCGCTCTGCAACGTCGTTGCGGTCGCAGCCACAGTGAACCTTCTGCAGCCGAGCTTAGGCTTGGCGACGAGTGTTCGGCAAAACGACGACGTCGAGTAGCGTAGGCTTTGGGAGTGAGGGGGAGTTCTTGGTCTCCATGTGAGAGGGAACAGAGCCGCGGCTCCGACCCGGGGGAGCCGGGTTGAGTGGCGATAAGTGAGACCGAGAAAGGTGGTGACCAGGTCGGCCGATATCGAAGCCATGGAAGAAAACGGCGACGTTTGGGTTTTGGGGTTTAGAGGCACAGAAGGAGAGGGTTTATGTGAGGTTGAAGACGGAAGAGGCGATATACTAATACGGCGGCAAAAAGTAGCTGTGGACTGTTCGCCAATTATCTAGATTTTTTAAATTTTTATTCATATATTTTTAGGGGGTGGTTTTGTCTTTTTAATTTTTTGTAAGTATCTTTTGTTTGTATTTGTTTTGTACCTACCTACTTAATTTATGAGACCATTCATCTTTTCCTCACATTCTTATTAAGAGCATCTCTAACCCAACAGTAATAGCAAATAAATTTTTTTATATTGAAGTTTGTTGACTTATATGGCAACTTGAAAATAAAAATAAGCTAAGAACAAATGCATGTTTTTAACTTTTGCAAATGATTATGGGCACAATTAATGTGTACTAGTATCCTTAATGTCTCCACCACACTAAATTAAGCGTGAGTGGGAAGGGAAGTGCAATTCTGATATAAGCATACATTTGACTATGTGTCTCTTAATTGTGAGTGAGTGAGTGAGTGGTATTAGGTAATCTTTTCAGACCTTAACAAATAAGAAAATGAGAATATTTTAATGGGCTGTTTCAGCAACTAGTTTTCATTTTGTGAGGCTAAGAGGATCTAGTAGCAAATAAAACTTTTTAAATTGAAGTTTGTTGACCTATATGGGAATTTGAAAAAGTCTTATTTGTTACTTGAATAATTTTTGCTTGAACAGACTCTTCAATACAATTAATGCAATATCATATAAAAAAAATAAAAAAGATGAAAATATGTGAAAAATGTCTACGTATTTATTATATGAAAAGAAAAAATGCACATTTTAAACATTTTCAATGTAGATTTTGTTTTTCCAAAGTAAAATTAAATGTTTGAAGAGTCAAAATCAACTTACCAGTCTTGAAAAGAGAAAAAGATGTTGCAACTTTGATGACTGAGGTTGAAGAGGCTGTTGGAGAGAGTTTTTCTGATGTGGCTCACCTATTTTAGAATTTCAAAGCTATTGAAGAGGCTATTGGAGATGCTCTAATCTCTTTTGTAAAACTTATTTTTTGTGAAAATATAAAATTTTAAAAGTAAGATGATTGGTTTTTTTTAATACAAGGGTTTCTCATACACACTATCGAGATGTTATAGGGATTTGAACTTGAGACCACGGGTAAGATAATTATTCTAAAATATGCATAATATGATAATAAGATCCCTATTTCTTTGTCTGAATTTAGGCTAATTCTTCAACTTGTAAATGGAATGTCTCAATATTACAACCTACATCCCTTACATATGTGGAGATTACAAACATAGCATTCAATGCTTGAAGATGAAAATCAAACTCCACATGCAATGTTAATAATGTGAAACACTTGGTGATAGAAATACCATGGTCTACATTATGTCACCCCACATACACAGCCACACTATTTCACTCAAATTGTTTCAGTGCATTTGATGAAGCATGTGACAAAAGTGGTCTCCTTGGTCTCATCGCAAATCATCCACACCTTTACTACACCACCCTAAATTTATTTGGTATTTCTTCCTATTGTTCTTGGATCCTGCTTGAAGATGATAATCCCTTGAATTTGATTTGATCTATCAATCCATTATTCGCACTTGAAGATGATAATCATATAATAAATTAAATTTATATTATAGCTCTTTTTTAGATAACAAAAATAAATAATAAAGTTGACATTTTTGTGCTATAAATATATGTCAGGTGGACTTCATGCAAATATTTTAGAAATGTCACCTAAATTTACATCAATTTCAATTTGACAAAAAAAAATTCAATTTTATTCAAATTTTCCATTTAAATAGCAAATTCTGTTATAAAGATAGTGGGTGGAGCTCATATATTGGATTCTTTGTTAGTTGCATCTTGGAGGAATTTTCTACACACCCACGTGAAGCTTGGTTCCTTCCATTCAGTTAGCCTATAAATAGGCCATCATCACTACTTGCGAAGACACACAAAAACCAACGGAGAAGAGAGCCCAGGTAGAGAGGAAGGAAGAAAGAAAGGAAAGTGAGAGGAGAGAAAAGAGAGCAGAGAGAAAAATCAGTGAGCCACAGAGATTGTAAACACTAAAGTTGTAGATCTATTATTTTACATAGTAGAAAAGTTATTGCTGCTGCTCTCCAATGACGTAGGCATGGCCGACTTGTTAAATATTGTGTCTCATTTACTTTACGTGCAGCTCAATATTCCCGCATATACCTTTCATTTGACAACAAGTTATTAGCACGAGAAGCTCTCAGAGGAAGAGCTGTGGTCTGCTAGAGAGAGGGAGCCACTGACTTTTACAGGAGAGAGATATGTGAACAAAGCCACCAAAAAATGATAAGCTCTATGTCTCTTTACCTTATTCATTTATTTTATTGATATTCTATACTATTCAATACCACTTCCTCATGCTTGACTATACAAAGAGAGTTGGTACTAGTGGCAAGTGAGAAAACAACAAGATTGGAAGCATGCACATATGCACAAAGACCATTTCCATGTATAATATTACTGTAGTATGATATTAAGGCATACATCTTATTTTATAAAAGGCCCACGTTAATCTTTGTCACGCCCAGATTCGAAAATAAAGAATATTCTTGAATCAGGGTGAGTGAATTGAATGAAATAAAAGAAAAAGACTAAAAAATTGGCTAAATACATTTCCCTGATATAAAATAATAATAATAATAATAATAATAATAATCTTACAATTGTACAAGATATAAATAAAACTTTATCACTCTAAACTAATCCAACTTCTCTGATTTCGTACTAAGAGCATCTCCAAGGGAGATGTCAAATATCGAACATCAAATTTAAATTTGATGGCTGATGTGGCAATTTGACATGTACACAGTTTTACACTCCACCCGATATGTTAAATAAATAATTATTGTAACAGTCAAATCATTCAAGATAAAAAAGGAAAAAAAGGAAAAAGGAAAATAATAAATGAAAGTAATAGCCAGTTGTCTTTAAAAAATAATAAAATATTCATTTGACATCTTGCTTTTAGGATGTTAAAAGTAACAACTGCACCTCCAACCTTGATTCCATATCAGCTTTGACAATTCGGTTAGAGTGATGTAAAATGTTATTTCAAGCCGTTAAATGTCTATGTGGCACTTTTGACATATCGGTTGGAGATGCTCTAAGTGCTTTGAAAAACAAAATATGTGAAGGATGAGCAAACCCCCGTTTATTGAGTAGATTATATAATATGCCAGTCAAGCAATGCCATTTTTCACAGTCAAGAAAATATAATAAAAAGATACATAATTCAAATCATATCACATCATTACTTCATATCTTGGTTATCCTTCACAAATTGTACCCAGCATGTGACCCCTATCGGCCTCACTGCCCTATGTCCCCGTCTAGTACATTTATTCTTCGGATACTCTGTAATTGAAATTTTCATGTTCCATAAATAGTATGTACTTCACAAAAACTCCAAATAATATATATTATGTGTAATTTGCACAAATTAGGCATGCTTGACTTGTAAATAGAAAGAGATTTGTAAATCGAATAAATCCATGATTTTCACATTTATCACAAAATAAAAACTTTTAGAACACATTACATAACCCACTCACCATGATAAGTATGAAATATTGCAAGACAAATACACACGTTCTTCATCTTGTCTCTCTCTCTCTCTCTCTCTCTCTCTCTCTCTCTCTCAAACACTACTTCATGGTAGAAATCTATTCTAAAGAATTGGAATTAATTATAGAAATAATGAATGATTATACTTATAAGAGAGGCTATGGATGCAACCAAATAATATTTATATATATAATATTTAAACCACTAAAAGATAAGATAAAAAAGTAAGGAAATAATGTGACTCATCCCCCTTTGGCCAATGATATCACGAACCACTTGTTATTAGCATGCAAGGTGGCATGACAATGATGATTTGATTAAAACCAATTCCAAGACTCTACATGTAGAAAACAAAAATGGTGTCATCTTTCAACTAAAGGAATAATCTCATACTAGGTTTAAGATTTAATAACATACAGATTTTCACAATAAATATTAAATAAAGAAAATTTATATTAATAAATAATTAATATGTAGTACGAATATTTCTTCAAAATAATAATTTATATAATTTTTTTTTAAACACAGGTTCTCACAACCTTTGTGAGTTATGACAATCTACTTTATGTATATATATATATATATATATATATTCGGTGGTGGTTTTATCCTCATATTTATTTTATTTACAATATGGTGTAGGTTTATACCCATAAAAACAGTATATATTTGTGACAAGGGTTCATCGTCCACACAACTTCCTTTACTTTTTTTATAAAAAGTATGGAGTAGAATTAGTGCCCATACAAGCACATTTATTTTATTACACATTTACTTTATTATTTAAAGTATGGTGCGGAATTAACATCCATACAACAAGCAATTTACTTTATGAATTTATTTTACAGCACATTAACTTTTATTTAAAGTATGGTATGAGTTTATTGTCCATACCAGCAATTTATTTACGAGCAATTTATAGCAATTTATGTTATGAATTAATTGTGTAATATGATGAGTTTTACAATATATAGAGATCATGACCAGAAGTTCCTTGATCCTTATCATACAACTACATCATGACCTAAAGATCCTTGATTATGATAATAATATGATAGCTGACAATCTCTCCAGTACTATATTTGTAAACAAGTGATTGGACCGAAAGATCCTTGATCATTGACATGTAAATAAGGACCTGAAGTTCCTTGATAATGTAACAGTACCGTATATGTCAAAAGTGTCGTACACATGAATAGTAAATGTACTGGCAAATGTATTCTAAATAGTAACTGTATGCATGAAAGGTGTCGTACACATGAATGGTAACTGTACTGGCAAACATACTGTATGCATGAACAGAACTATATTCATGAATTGATGAATAGTATCGTATACATGAATAGTGACGTATGCATGAATAGTAACTATTATTCAATGGGTTGTGTTGATTGGAACCACGTTCTATTATTAAATGTCGACAAAATCATTGGCCAAAATGGAAAGAGGCAATTCCATTACAGAAGATAATGAACGTGAAAAACTAACCCTAG